GGTCCCTTCCAACCCAAACATCTATGAATCTATTTCCCAGGGAGATTAAGGACTACCTCAACCCCTCTTCAAGTTTTCTTAAGATAGCCATATACAAATTGTAAAAAGGAAGAGTCTTCTCTCACTGCTTTGGTAAAAAAGATTTGAATCATGTTTCCTAAAACTTTGTTCAAATAGTCCAGGATGAGTCTTTGTGATACTCTGCTTTTCATCTGCCCAATCAGTAAGTCAGTGCATAAAGGTACTTCTATGTTTGTTTCATAATACAACTATCAATATAGATGGAATACATAATTTTGAAAAATTCTCTTCCTTTTTTTGCAAATTTATCTTGGGCTGTGTCTTTAGATAACAGTTGTATTGATGAGGAGGTTATATCGTTGAATTCAAAGGAACATTCTGATGATGATTCCTCTTCTGGAACATACAGAAAAGGCAAAGTTCGTTACATCTAGCAAATATGTAAAAATTAGAAGGCACTGGGTGGGTTCAAGATCAGAAACACAAGTACACTTTCCAGTGTTTATGTTAGTCATGTAAAATCACAGATGACATAAGGGGGAATGGATGGAAGAGGCAGGAATATTTTTCCTCCTTTGCTTATGCTAAAAAAAGTGTTTTATTTATCTGAATAATTTGCAAAACAAAATGACTGACTGAGGTAAATTCAGATGTAAACAGTCTTACTTAAATTGTATTAAATTTGGCCCTTTCTAATTTTAGGCCATTTTGATTACTTTAAACTGTGCCAAAAGATGTAGTTTTACATAGTGTGTTCATTCCCTTGTTTATTTCCTACTGTGTAAATATTATAAGTATTAAATTCCCTTAATTTCTTATGCTATTCAGTCCCTTTTCTCTTCAGGCACCTTTCCTGATTCTCTCTACCAAAGGTACCAAGAGAAACAACAATAAATTGGAGCCAATAGTAGATCACAATATATCAGAGGACCAGTAATGGGGTATAATTAATTGATATTATAATGAAATCGTGTTCTAGGGTATTGGAGGCTACCTGCAGTGTGTCCTCGGTCTTTGAGCAGCAAGGTCACTGAGGAAACCTCAAGGAGCTGATGGGCATGTTAGCCACTTTTTGCTCAAGTCAAATTAGGGAATAATTAAATGTCTCCTTGTTCAGAAATAGCAGGAATGATAGAAATGGTCCAAGCAAAATGGTCCAAAAATGGTCTAAGCAACCCCACCCCCACACACACACTTAATTTAGTTTAGATAAAAATTATTTCCTAGTTTAATATTTGTAACGCTTGCCTCTAGTAGAATACTGGACACTTACATGACCTTTAAACTGTTTAACTTATAACAACTATATTAATACATAAATGATAGGATTATTCCACATTGCTCATAAGTGCACGTGCTCACTCTCGTTCACTCTTTCTTGCTCTCTCTCTCACTGTCTCTCACTCTCTCTTTCCCATTCTCTCTTGCACTCACTCTCTTTCCATTTCTCTCTCTGTCTCTCCACTCCTTTCCCATCCAGCCTTCTCCTGTCCGCTGCGCACAACACGCTAGGATAGCTTTAATTCTCACTCCAAAGATCCTGTTCCCATTATGTCTGGTGCTTGCTGACAGCAAATACAGGGCTGTGGTAATTAGAAGACCTGTTACTTGAGTTCTCTACCCAGCATCTCTATTCTGTGTATATCCTTATATCTCTGTTGAGAGCAACCCTGAAGGTTACACTCAACTAGCCCTCTGTTTGCTGGTGACATACTGGACAACAGGACAAATAAAGTAGACTAATTAATCAAAAAAAAAGGAACAAAGAAGGGAAGCTTCCTAGAGTCACCTTAGGAACAAGTCCACCCACTACTTCCTTCCTATGTTTGGCTCTAATTTTAGGCATCAGAAACAGGGTATTTTGGGACTGTTTCCTGTGCTTGTTCTGTAGCATTTGGGTGAATCTGAAACACATTGAGGGGAGGGACAAACTGCTGGGGAGTTTAACACAGAAGACCCTCCAAGCTAAGGGAAGTAGGCTTGGGCTAGAAGGTGCCCCTCAAGCCAGGATTATGTATCCTTAACAAAAAGTTTGAAAATGAAACCATAATGGTCCCTATGCAAAACAAGTAGATAGTCTCAGAGGAAACCATTGTCCAGATTGAGCTAGTAGGAGCTCAAAGCAAAACAACAAGTTGCTTTGTTTTCTTTTGGTATCCGGAGTACAGTAGAATTAACAATAAAATGGAGAGCTAGGATGGGTCGGTCTCAATACCCCACTCACAATGGTAGGGAGTCTTACAGAGCTCCAATGCAGGAATTAAGACCACAACACTGAAAATCTCTGCATTAGGATGGGAGAATAGCAGGGAGAAAAATACACGCCGTGAGAATCTGCTCTTTCCTATTCTAAACAGAACAAAATACTGTTGTGTCAGGTACCACATAAGAACAACAGAACGCTGT